TGATTTGCTAGGAAAATCAAATAAAATAGAAATTTAACAGCTAGTTCATCTCTAATTTCACTGATGGAATAAAAGGAGACTACGAAACAATATCATTAATTAGAGTTCAAGAAATACAATGCTGAGGTAACATAACAAGGAACCATCATTGGGTGGTGACTACGTTCACCAAGAACTCCAACCGGAGATTAAACAAAAGAAATGTTGATGCAAGATCAATGATAGCTCTGAAAGTGCATACACATTAAACATATGCAATTCTTTGGAGACACAATCATGAGCAAACTCTAAAAATGAAGTAATGTTTCTGATCCAAATATAAGCTAAATGCCACGAGTTAGATGAGAAAACAAATGTAGAAATGACAGAAATACACTTAAATGCATAAGAAGTATTGAGCCATCAGACTCTGTATCAGAAATGATAAATTGTCTTTCAAGGGTAAATCTTCTCAATGAAAAAGGAATTTATTATATAATAATAGTAATAATCTGGTTCATTAAATATTTTATCTGTTCAATGACCAAAATTTCAGCAGCAGGCTCCAGTCAATATTCGAAATGATATAAACTTGGCAAATAAAAAGGTCTTACCAATTTTTTCCACAATATCATCAGTCTCCCTGATTCCTGCAGTATCAAGAAGTGTAACAGGAACACCACGAACAGAAACACTGGCTTCCACAACATCCCGTGTCGTACCAGCAATATTTGTAACTATTGCTCTATCAGTCTGCACGCTAATAGAAGGCACGTGATTAGAAATGAATGCCAGCAAGATAATAGCACGGGAAGCAGACACTTTAGACTAGAGAAATTCTAAAGAATGGGAGTGTGCTTAATATGACTTTATATTTTGAGGAAAATATTTGTCATGAAACACTTTCTATTTATGGTCTTGTTATAAGTAGTAGTAGGGGTTTGAGTAAAGATTAACAATCATGTTTATATGGTCATAGAAGCAAGTGGAACGCAATAAGAGTTGCAATACTGAAAATATCACGCACAGTTAAGGACACAAGTTATTTTATATTATGCGACAATTTAAGGTAGACAATTAAAAATTAGAGGATTGAAATGGTTCATTATTAGTTTTTTTTACTGTCCTACAGTTGCTGGTTTGGGAAAAGTTCCAAATTGTGGCTTGTAGCTAAATTCATCGTGATAACTTGAGTCAAGCATAACCTATTGCTGGCTAGTATACAATTTAGATTCTGAAACTAACGATTCAAATCCATATATACTTTCCATACCAGAAGGAACAATTTGGTCTTTAGAAATAAGCAAAGTGATGAAGTGTTCTTCAATGGATCCCTGGAATGTCTCAACTAGAGCTAAAGGTGCAAGTCACATCCTATGCAAATTATAAGAACTGGGAGCTAGGCATTGCATGGAACTTCTTCGTATATGTTTCTAATTACAGGTGAGATTTCTATTTACTGGTCCACATTTTGTTTCAGATTTAGTTACTGAGTTAAAAGTTTATGCCACTGTCAAGAGAAGCAGTGATAACTATTTAAAAAAACAATAATTACAGGAATCAATGATGAGATGGTAAATAATGGGTATATTGGTGGAACATACTTTGCTCCATGCATTAAGAAGGCTTGATTTCCCAACATTAGGTCGACCAATAATTGCAATCTGCAAGATAGTCATTGAAAATTATGTTGTCTTAATTATTAGTTCAAAGCAGGGAAACATAAAAAAAAAATCCATTTTTGGACAGCCAGCTAAACAGCTAGATGTGCTTTAAGTTACTCTCAAATTCAATGACAAGTTAAGACATGCGTCCTTTGTTCCTTTCTCCTCCTTGCTTTGTTATTTAGTTCTCAGGAAAAAAGTCCACTAGGCTTTTATAAGAACTTGGTCAGTCTTAGTGCAATATAAACCTGTAGTCCTGACTGCAGAAGCTTGTCATAGTTGGCAGTTTCCAGCGCATTATCCAGATCATGCAGCATCCCATATATTTTGTCCATAATAAGATTCAGATCAAGGGGTGGCATCTCGTCATCGAAGTCAAGACGAGCTTCAATTTCAGTTAGCAACTCCATACACTGAGTTCTTAGTGATTTGACCAAAGAAGAAAACCCACCCTGACAAAAGGAACTATCATTCAGCATCATTCCCCAGCACTAGGATAAAAGGCAAACAAAATAAAACTTAGTGCTGAATCTGTGCCCTTGTTAATGTATCAAAGGGTCAACAGTTCTTTTCTTTTTAGAAGGGTCAACAGTTCTTGTAATTAAAAAGTGATTTTATACAGCTGAACACCTCTATTCCTGCCAATGCAGCATCTGCAGCAGCCACTGACTTTGCTGATATTAACTTTTCGACATTCTCAGCTTGAGAAAGATCCAAACGACCATTTAAGAAGGCGCGCAGAGTGAATTCACCTAATAAAAGTGAAACATTAAAAGAGGTGAGCTGGAGAAGAAAGATTCTCACCTATTCTATGGCTGCACAGAAAAAGGAGACAGTTGCTGTGCATTTGCCTAGTAACTAAAGCTTTGACAAGTCAATGCTACGGGACTATAGAATGATGTAGTGATGTACAGACAAATAAATCTTCACAACAGTTTTCGAACTATAGAGATCAATTCTCATCAAAACCGTAACTGCTGCAGGTTATAGACATCAAAACAGTCAATTAAAGAATACAAGGATGAAGCTAACCTGGTTCCGCAAGCTTTGCTCCAGCCTCCAGACACGCCCTCAAAACACGTTGAAGACACACTTCACTTCCATGACACTGAAGCTCTATCACATCTTCTCTAGTGTAAGACTTTGGAGCCAGCATAGGAACCACCAGAACCTAAGCAAGAAAAAGAAAAAGGAATTTAGAGAGAGAGAGATAGAAGAAGAAGAAGAAGAATAAAACTATTGAAACTATTAACAATGACTTCCAACATATTCATTATTTTAGCGTCTCTTTATTTCTTTAAGGTAAAGGCAGAAGCCACTAGAAATGTCCTGAAACAGACTCTCGTTTCCATTCTATAGACACCTTTACCTCACCTTATCTACGGGGTTATAATAGAATTAAATGAAGAACCAATTCCCCACAGGTATGAACTTAATAAGAGCAGATAAAAGTACTAGATATAATAAGAAGACGTCGCAAAGGCTTAATTCAGATATGAAGCAACAACAGCACCAAACTCTTAAAATCATCAATGTAGTGTAATTCACATGTCAAATCTAAAGAATAAATGCACCAACCAGAAGGAAAAATCTAGAGTTTCAAATTATACCTCATCAATCACATTCCCATGAGAGTCGGAAACAAAACCGTACTCTACAACATGACTACTCGGTCTCCACTCCGAAGAACTCCTTTTCTTCTTTTTCACCTTGGGATGAAATACACGACCAACTATAGGCACTGCAGAAGGACCAGATAACCGAATAATTCCAACTGCAGCTGCTGGACCACCCAAAGAAGTGACAATAGCAGCAATGGTGCTAGTATTAACGGCTGGGTCAAGAGCGCTCACTGTACCAGACACTGATAACCTCTCGTCTTGTTTCAGCACCAGAGTACTCTCTGCAATAAAAATAAATAAAAAACATTGAAACTTAAGCATTCAAATCAATTTTTCAGCACCAGAGTAGAATCTATACAATAAAAGAAAAATTGAAACTTAAGCATTAAACCTAATTCTTTTACAACCACATTATTCTCTTCTATAAAAAGATCAAAATATTATCAGTAAAAAACAATTCTTTCAGCTCCATAGTATTCTCTGCAACAGAAAGATTGAAATTTCAGCACCAAAATCCAATTTTTTTTCAGTACCAGAGTACTCTCTGCAATAAAAAGATTGGATCTTTAAAAGTCAAAAACAATTCTTTCAGCACCATAGTATTCTTTGCAACAGAAAAATTGAAACTTCAGCATTAAAACCCAATTCTTGTAGAACCACATAATTCTCTGCAATTAAAAGATTGAATCTTTATCAACAAAAATCAATTTTTTCAATACCACAGCATTTTCTGCAATAACAAGATTAGCATTAAATTCAATTATTTCAGCACAGGAGTAGTATATGCAATAAAAAGATTGAATCTTTATCACTAAAAAACAATTCTTTCAACACTAGATAACTATATTCAATGAATAGATTGAAACATTAGCATTATAAAATGGGTATGCAGGAAGATGAAAGGAGTTACCTTTAGAAATAGCATGATGCTTAGCAGTAGGTTGAGAAGAAGAAGAAGAAGAAAGAGGGAAGAGAGAAGAGAGTGTTGTGTGAATTGGGATTGACAATCTTGGGCAGATAGACAAGGCTATGGATGTGGCTGGTGAACGCAAGTGGGTGAAGAGATGGCGGAGTGCAGGTAGCAAAGCCATTTTTGGGGGCTTTGGTAAACCCCCTTCTGCTTTTTCTTTCTTGATGATAAACCTTTCATTTTCAGTCACATGTTTGGCACGTGACCAAGCAAAAAAACAAAAAAAAAACTAAATAAAGGTGAAGGGTATTTTCGTAAGAAAAAAAAACTTATTTTTAGAAATTATGCAATAAATATAAGTTTGAATAATTAATCTTATCATAACTATCACAGTATAACTTATTCAGCATAACTAATTTCAACATAAATTGTATTCAAACCAAATAATCCTTAAGTAGACAAAATTTTGTTTTGTTCAATAGTATTATTGATCGGGTGTAACTTTAATATGATTCTCATTCATAAAAGAGTCAACACTAATCACTGATTGTCTTTCAGGATGACTCAGTTGGTTAGAGGATGTTTGTCCACACGGATGACCCAAATTAATCACTCCTCAATGCCTTCTAAGTTGAGCATGTTGTTGTTGATCAATTAAAATGCCTTAATTTAAAACCACTCACTCTTTCTTATTAAACCTCAATGTCTCTTTACAAGTCAATACGTATATAAAACACAAGTTATTTATTCCTACTTCCTAGTTCAATTTTTGATCAATTGAAATGGATTGAGCTATAAATGAGCAGGTCAATAACCCATCCAAACTCGGGTGAGTTGACAAAATATATTTTCATAGGCTAATGCACCTCTCAATTTTACAAAGGATTCATACAAGATAATTGATTCATTGATACACACATGTACCTCTTTATAACTTTTTTTTTTTTTGGTGAATGGCATACTTGAATCACATAAATTCCTTGAAAGTTCAACATTGCTTAATTTCAGCAAAACCTTCAATGAGAAGAAAGTTTTGAACTATACAATCCAAAAGATAGCTAACAAATCTTTGGTTTATTCAACCAACAAACAAACATCAGCATTACAACCACAATTGGCTTATTCACTCTACATTTAACAAGTACATGCAAGTTGATTTTTATACTTCCCTCGGCTATATACTGCGCGGACATCCAAGCATAGCTGCATTTACAAGTTACAACTTCAGACTACTTCTGCAGGGGACTTTGCGGAACAGGTCAGGACAGCATCTCCTACAGTGAGAAAGATCTTGTCCTCGCCAATTTGATTCACAAAATCAGATGCATGCAGCTTGTCAATCACTACTCTTCCAGGATTCGACAGAACTAACTGTTCACACACAAATTTTAGTTCAGATACTATGTTAGGGTCCTAATTAGATTATCAGGTTTATAAAAATTACCTGAACTTCTCTCTTATGTAGGCTTCTGTGCAACTCTTCAAAGGCATGGATACCACTAGTGTCAATGTCAGTCACAGCTGGAAAAAAGAAAAACGAGATGAGTGTCATTTGCCTCTATGGTTATCATATTTGGTTTGGGATTTTTAAAGACAAAGGTAAGCATTTTCTCCACTTACGCGACATGTCAACTATCAAGAACTGAATTTTAGGTTGGTTAACTGATTCTAGTTGCTCGTCTTCGTCAGTTAGCCATCTCAATATCCTGGAAAACAAGTTCATTCTCATGAATCAGACACTCTTTTCGCCACTATGAAGCCAGAATTAGTGCATGTTTTCAGTTGACAATTGAATATCATATAAATTCTGATTAGACATAGAAGAAATAATGTCTTACCTCTCTCTCATGTAGTTAGAATTTGAAAAGTAGATAGCAGAATCAACTCTCACTATTAGTACACCGGGAACTTGTGTTGCCTCGGGATATTGTTGAATGTTCCGATATACATTTGTCCTAGGGATCTTGCCAAGAAGAGCTGTTCGTGGCCTTGTGACTTGGAGGAGAATCTTAGCAAATGATATTGAGACCTATATAATAATAAAAACAACGAGATACAATCATTGAACTGTCGCGGCTTTCCCTGATGAATTTGTTAAGCATTGCTGAGAGAAATACTTACAGCAATTATAAGACCAATCTCAACAGAGGCAAAAACCACACCAAAAAATGCTCCCATGCAAGCAACAAAATCAAATTTGTCGATCTTCCAAATCAAAATCGTTGCTTCATAGTCTACCAATCCAATGACAGCAGAGATAATGATGGCAGAGAGTATTGCATTCGGAGTGTACTCAAAAAGAGGGGTTATGAACAACAATGTCAGGACCACAACAATAGACATGACAATGTTGGAAACTGCAGTTTGGCAGCCAGCCATGTAATTTACTGCTGAACGAGAGAAGGAACCTGCAAGAGCGAATTGACCAACTAGTTACAGTATGCCATGAGAAACGAAGTACTCGTAGTATTTGTTTGCCTTAATAATTATAAACCATGAGATAATGATGAAAACACAATAACAGATGAATCAACATTTTTTCTACCTGTTGTCACATAGCATGATGTCATGGAGCCGACGACATTCATTGTCCCAAGCGCCACCATTTCTTTGTTTCCATCCAACTGATAGTCCTTCTTTGCAGCAAATGATCTTCCAATTGCAACAGCTTCCTATGAACGAGAAGATAGAAGTATCACAATTGAGTAAAGAAGCCAAATTTTTTTACCTGTTTCAACATTTAATCAACTAATTTTCTTACCGTCAATGCAATCATTCCAGCTACAATACCAATCCTAAGCCCTTTTAGGAGATAATCACCGGTGAAATAGATCTCCTTGACCGAAGGAGGATTGATTCCTTTCTCAATGTGTCTCACCTAGTAAGGTCATTACAGAATTGCATGAAATATTATTTCATCATGCTCAACGCTGAATGACTACACAAAGAAATAATGCCACGAAGCCACTAAAGTAAGCACTTACAATCTCGACTCCTTGTTTTTCAGCATGGGTTATGTAGACCAAGAAGGTGGAAAGAATGACAGAGATCAGAGGAGCAATTGCAGGTATCCAAAAGAGCTTTTTGTGCTTCTTTCCCTGATTTTCAGAGTCATTTAAGAATCAACAAGAAGCTACCAAGTACTTCAGGTTCAGTGATGGACAAAAAGTTAGAAGTCTTACAGCGTACTTCACGAACAAAAGTAAAGTTAAAAAGATTGCTCCAATGAGAATCGTTGGCCAGTTCCACTGCAAGTTTGTTGATTATACAAAAAGGTGCTATTATTATCATTTCTGAAAGATAAAACCTCTAAGAAAGGAGGCCTAAAAGGACAAGATAACTTACTCCATGCTGGGCTGAACGGCATACAGATTTCATCACCGAAATGATATCAGTTTCCTTGGTAAACTTCTTGATGCCCAGAAAACCTTTAAGTTGCTGGAGGGCAATTGTAATGGCTGCACCGCCCATGAAACCAACAATAGCAGCATGTGATAGGAAGTCTATTAAAAATCCCAATCTGAAAAGGAAGCAAAGCAAATAGTTAAACCAAGCTGTCCGTTAGCATGTCAAATGATATGAAGAAAATCGAAATATAAGGTGTATACTAGAAGCTCTTAAGCTTAGAAATTCTTATATACCTTAGGATTCCAAGAGTAGCTTGGGTAATGCCAGCAAAAAAGGTAGCTGTAAATGCAAGCCTCCGGTATTCAATTGGATTTGTCGTTGGATCGATTTCACTGCTGAGGAGAGACCCTAGCAATAGCGATACAACAGCAACAGGTCCTATTGCTATATCTCTCGAGCTACCCATGAAGGAATAAACCAAAGGTGGAACAAAGCTGGAGTCTGGCAAATGTAACATGTATGATAAAAAGCTCCTTTAATACTATACTAAAATGTACTAACTAGGAAACAGGACACTTACATAACCCATACTGAGGAGCTAAGTTTGCGAGTTTTGCATATCCAATGTCCTATTAAACCAGTTACAATATGGTCAAACTCATCAAAAATAAAAATCCAAACTTCTTCAATTGATTTACACAAGTCATATGCGCATGTTCTATACCTGAGGAATGCAGAGACTTGCAATAGTCAGACCAGCAATAACATCACCTCTGAATTTGGAAACGTTATAGCTTTTACCCCATTCTAGTATGGGAAATACAGCCTGCAAACCAAGGATAAACTTCCGAGACCTTGGCTGATCCTTAAAGGGACGTAGAGGATCATCTGAAAACAATGTTTCCTTTACAGTAGTCTTAAACTCATCAAATAAGTTCTGTTTCGGTGGGAGTCCAACCTTGTGCATATATGGTGGTTGTTGGTGCTCCGAGGATGATAAACTTCGGTAGTCCATTTCTTTTGCGTCTATTGAAGATAGGCCCATCTTAGATTAGAAAGGACTTATTCACCTGTAAGAAAGCAGTAATATAATTTCTAATACATCAGTATTAGGAGAACTACTAAGTCCCAACACAAGCTTATCATTGAGCCAAATCAACAAAATACATTCATAAGTTCACTACAAGCTTATTATTGAGACAAATCAACAAATGCATTTGACGCCACATAAAGTCTGGATGATCAAATTAATTGGCTTCTACTCAACTACTAAACAAATACTCCAATCTGAGCATTACTCAGATGTACACTCTCTAAAACTTGAGAGCAACTAATAAGAGAAACATGCATGACAGGGGGGGAAAAAATCAAGGCCCTTAAGAAGGATCACTGACTATACACTGTTAGCATGATGGCCATATCATCTATATTAAGATATTCTCGATATGGTAAATATGTGAGAGATATTCTAGATACTACACTTTAGTGTAGAATATTTTTTAGGATTTACATTAAGTGTAGAATATTTTACTTCCTTTCATCTCTTATTTCTCTTGTGTATTTGGATGACTCATTCTTCAGTTCTTCTCATGTTTTCTCTGTTCCAAACTACATGCATATGCAATCAAGCACAATTCCTTATCACTTCGAGATCAGTACACATCTAAACTATGTCAAGGTCCTATATTACCCCTGAACTTTAACACCCTTAAACTTTACGAGGATCCTATTAGCCCTGAACAATTTTGTTAGTCACACAACTATTTTCTACAATTACATTGCAAGTTATTAATAACATGATGAATTTCTTAGCTTAAATTACTCCTTTTTTTCATCTCTACACCCCATTCAACCACCTTTCTCCTTTGCTTAATGAAGGGGAAAAAATGTTCAACTCCAAAACAAGGATACAATAAAATAAAATCACTAAAGTTCACTCTTAACAAGAATAGGATTGTGAATAAAAATATAATCCTAAAACCCAATTTAGTGCAATTAAATTAATAAAACTCAAGTTCTTTTCAATTCAATACTCCATTTCTTTTATACCATTAATAGTGAAATAAGATAAGGTCCCCCACTTTTTTTTTTGGTCACACTCCATGTACAACCAAATATACCTACTACTAAACTAATTAAACAAACAAGAAAATAAAGAAAGTGTAAAATTAAGGTTCTAATTAAATTAATAACATTATTAAAACAATAAAATGTGCACAACCTCTCTACTCTACCGACGAGGTAGGGGTAAGATATATGCCTACAATTTAATCGTAGTTAAAAAGTAAAATACACAAGAAATTAAAACGATTTAACATATAATATATATATAAATAATTTTAATTAAATATAAACAGTATAGTTTTAAAATTCGAACGAACCCCTCCAGATCCCTAGACCCCACCAAATGGCAAAAGATATGAAGAAAAGGACAGATATATAAAGAGAGGAACACTAAAGATAAGTAAGTAACTACCTTAGCCATTTTATTCACACTTTTGATGGTCCTGGTACTTCTTCTGGGCATCAAATAATAATTCCAAGAAAACAGAAAAAAAAAAAGTACACTTTTGAAAAAAAATAAAATAAAAATGAAATTGACCTTTGAGATCAAGAATCCTAATAAAGTAACAATCTCAAATCATGTCTAGGTTCAATGTATGAAAATATTCAATCTTTTGTTTGGTTGATTAACAAGAAGAAGATGAATGCATGTGTAGGGGGAAAAGGGCTTTTGAGTGTTGTAAACAAGAATTTTTTTTCTTTTTTAGGGTAATGAAATGAGAAAATGAATTTGTTGTTTGATGACAAATATAAGGAGGAAGTAGTAATAAAGAGTATGTTGTAACAACTATATTTGTTGGAGGTTAGTGGTATTAATTTTCCTAAAGTGTAGGTCCTGAATCTTTACACTTTTACTGTCCATATTCATTAACTTCACAAAATTGACCAAATTCCCATATTTTAATCACAAGTTTATTGGATTTTGACCTTTGAGCACACTAACTTCCAAGGCCCAAAACAATGGAGACAAAAAACTATTATTCTCTCCGTTCCATTTTTATGTGACATATTTTGACTTGACACGGTACTTAAAAAAAACTTGTGGTCTAAAACAATGATTAGACATTTATGTGGTTGAAAATGATTTCTTTAAGTAAAAAAGAGAAATTTTAAAGTTAAAACTATTTCTAATTATTGTAATATTAGATATACTCTAATTTGCATGAACATTGAATATCTTATTAAATTTTGATGCATCCTGATCTGTCTAGATACATGTATCGTGAATACATAGAGTTAAATTTAGGGGTACTTTGTGCAAGATACATTATATTCAAGTGAAATCGCATATACATTGAGATACATGCAAATTTTATTATCCTTGTTCACCACTCTCCCATGTATATGGGATACATATGAATCTCACTAGGCCTCCCTCCCTAATCTCGTTCAACTCTCTCTTTATTTTTGTGTAATGGTAGCAAAAATAAATGTATCTATCTGTAAGATACGTAGGAAACTCTTAATTAGAGGTAACATACGCAGAAAACTCTTAATTAGTGGTAAGATACGTCATATTTTAAAAGTACAAGTAATAATAATATATATATAGTAGTGAAATATGCCTAATTATGTAGTTTTTTCGGAATATATTGCTTATTCTATCCAATTTTATGCGACACATTTTGACTTGACATGATATTTATGATTTTTTTTTTAAAAAAAATTGTGGCCTAAACAATTCTTAGAAATCTGTGTGGTTGAAAATCATTTCGTTAGGAATAAAAATGGAATTTTAAGTTAAACTATTTCTAATTATAGTTAGTCGACACTCTTTTTAAAATGGACTAAATAAAAAGATGCAACATAAAATGGGATTGAAAAAAATATTTAGATATACACCACTACCAATACTATGAGTAGTAATTATATCTATACTTTCTAATAATTACATATATTACTACTATTTAATAATTTATACCATATATTAAAAAAATATATTTAGATACACGTATCTCTAAATAATAGCCTAAATTAGTTAAACCATCCAAAATTCACGCTTTAATATCAACCTCCTATGCCACGTCCTCCACCATCATTTTTTTTTTGTATGATACACATTAATACATATCTTGATAAAAAAAAATTATAATAACAATTAAACATACAATTACAGGTAAGGCTCATTGTCATTCTTTTGTTTTTTAACTTTCATATATGTTGCTTATCTAATTTATGGAAATATAAGATTATGCGCATTATGATCTACCTAAATTTTTAGTTTATTTTAATTTAATCCAAATAAATCTATACAAGTTATTTATGTATTTATTCTATTTTAACTTTAATCTATTTTAACTCTCTCAATTTCAGTCTAACATACCCATTTGATACTCCTAGAAACAACAATTTTCCAACTTTGATTAACGGACAATAAGATTTATATTTTGGGGATTGAACTATATTCTAATTTGTTCCATCCTCTCATGTTTTTTTTTCTTTCTTTATTAGTATGTGGGGCATGTCTAATTTGATTTGATATGGCAATATGTCCTAAAAATATAATTGAACATCAAAAAGTAACATTATAGTAGCAGAATAATGTTATATTAAATAATTATTTTTAAAAATGATATAACTTAAATGGCAGGATAAAAAACTGATTACCTCGTAGTTTTTCCCCCATAAAATTTTGGATTCAAAAAGGTGTGTGACAACGTGGAATTTCTTCATTTTTGTTAGAAAATATTGTTTTAAATATTTTTTATTTTATTTTATTTTTTAAAAAAAATAAGAACTTTAAGTTTAATTTGTCCACAAATCATGAGTTATGGACAAAGTGTAATTTCAGAATGGGCTAAAATTTGGCCCATTAAAGTGCTAAATGCACATAGTATTGATCGGAAAGAACACTTGTAATAAGTAGAGCCATAAATCAAAGTATAATTTATCTAAATTTCATAGTATAAAACTTTAAATTATATTTCATTCTTATTCTTTTCTATTTTACAAAAATTTCTTAAAATTTCAATTATTTGAATGCATAAATTTCATCTTGATACATTATATATGATACATTATAAATTTGTCTGTTGCACTTAATAAAGCATATTAATGTAAAACTGATTTTTTTCCTCATAAATCACGCATAACTGATTTTCTTTTCCCACAAATCAGCAAAATTGATTGATATCAATCCATTCCAAATCTAGAACAACTTCACAAAATTCAAAAATCAAATTTTATCTTCTCCATGAATTGAAAATCTTGAATATGAACAAATTCACCATTGTAGATTATTGGACAAAATGATTCACAATTTCGAATCGTCAATCCGAGATCGTAAAGTATAAGAAATCGTCAAGAAATATGAAAATCAATATAGCAGACAAAACTGATTGGACAAATAATTTTTTTTGTGAATCTCAAAATTGCCATTGCGGATGAGGTAAAATATTTCTCCATCAATTTTTTCTTCCCAGTTGTTAGGTTGTCTTTTTTCTTTTTTAAAAAATAGCTTTTTCATCTAATTTTTTTTATACATATGAATTATGCTCCTTTTTTTTTTTAGTATGGTACCTTGTATATTTGATTCTGATGACGAAAAGTTTCATGGAAATAGATCTAATCAATGAAATGATATGTTAATCATGAAAAATTTGAGATCGAAGAAGTCAAAAAAGAGGATGCATACTCGAGCTTGAAATATACTATTGAGAAATATTGCTCAAAAAAGAAGGAAAAATTTGATCCGTCCTAAAACAATCTTCACTATCAAAAAATGCAGATCTACAATGTATCTCGTTTATTTTGATTCTTAAATTAGGTCTTTGTTAGTGTTATTAATGATTCGATGAATCACTACTATAACACTTCGTTTTATGCAATGTATCATCTCCTAATCTTTCGGCCTAATCTACCCAAGGTAAATGAGTTTTCATCTATTTCTGTGATCTTTCGATTGATCAAGCTTCCATTAATTTGTTGTTGATTCAATTGTATGATACATTACGAAAAATTAGTGTTATCATATTGGTGTATCATCATTCAATTTATTTTTTTGATACATAAAATCCTAAGATTGTTTATTCAGTAGTTACTACTTATGTAAATAATGATACATTAGTAGTAAACAACGGACGTGTACTGTAATTTTGTATGTATGAATTATGATGTGGTCATTATTATTTATTTGAACGTGAATTTTATAAAAATTTATCATCTTAAAAGATTGTATATGATCAAACTACAATAATATAACAATTCATTCAGCAATATGAACTTTTTACTTGATACATTCATAAGAATTATTCAAAAAAATTAAAAAACAAAATTAGAATCGAGTTGTAACCATCAAATTTACGTTGATGACACATAATTTAGACTACAAAGTATCTTCACTATTTGTTTGATACATAGTTATAAAAAAAAATGTATTTGATATCCATTTAAGGTATATAAGTTAAATATCATGTTTAACTATTTTAAAATATGACACAATGTTTTATTGATTACATTTCGACATATAATTTAGACCTTATATGCAATATTAATTATTTTAGAATATGATACACCATTGTGTTTGTGAATATGGTACCATTTACTATGTTTCAGATACATTTTTTAATATAATGTATCATTTTGTAGTTGATAATAACGCATCTGACATAATAAGGTTGTGAAAAAGGGTGTAAATAAGAGTGTGTTTGGTATGAAGGAAAACATTTTCCGGAAAATGTTTTTCAATTTTCTCATGTTTGGTTGGGGTAAAATTTTTGGAAAATGTTATCCAAATCAACTCATTTTCCTCAAAATTAAGGAAAATGACTTCCCTTCAAAAATTAAGGAAAACATTTTCCAAAGCACTCATCCAATTTCAAATTACATTTTTTTTTGGGAAAAACATCAATTTTTTAAAAAATATTTTCAATTTCAAAATTTTATTTTTTCACACCCCCCCTCCCCCCTCCCCAAAAAATTGATTTTGCTTTTTAAAAGTATTTTCAACTCCAAATTTTTATTTTTAAACTCCTACCTCCCCCCCGGCCAGTCCCCCTACCCACCCCTACCAGCCCCCTCACCCCCAATCCCAACTCCCCAAAAATTAATTTTGTTTTTTAGAAATATTATCAACTTCAATTTTTTATTTTTTCACTCCTGACCCCTCCCTCTGCCCCCCCCCCCCACCCACCCCCTATCACCACCACCCAAAAAAATTATTTTTAAAAAATATTTTCAATTTCATAATTTATTTTGTATTCTAGTAAAAATAAAAAATGTTCCTCAAAAATATTTTTCATTCATAAATCAAACACTAAAAATCATTTTCGAAAAATATTTTACTTACCAACCAAACATGAGAAAATAAGTCTAAAATATACTTGTTTTCCAGGAAAACATTTTCTAGGAAAACATTTTCCATAGAAAACAGTTTCCTTCATGCCAAACACACCCTAAGCTTAAATAAAGTGTATCTATAAATGTATCACAATAAATAAAAATTAAGTTATCAATTGAATACATGAATGAATCAATAACTAATTACAACTAATAGTGTCCAATATATTAGCATGAATAAATCAACAACTAACTACAACTAAGTTATAAAGCACATGAATGAATAAACAACTAACTACAACTAAGTTATAAAGCACATGAATGAATAAACAACTAACTACAACTAAGTTATAAAGTACATGAATGAATCAAAATCAAGTTATCAACTACATTACATTGTTAGGTGTCAAATATTATCAGCAACTAACTATAATTACTAAGAAAACGAAATTTTGTATGTGTATTCATGAATAAATCT